CCTACCTTGTCCCCTTGCAGTCCTCTCGCCAGCATCCCAAGCGGAGCACGACCCCAATTAGGGTCCCAGCCCTCCCGTGGCCGGGCTAGTCTAGGGGGACTAGCACTTCAGGGAGGCGAGGACCCGGCACAAGGAAGAAAGAAAAGCAGGGCAAAGGAATCCGGGAAGCCAGAAAGGGGGATACAAGGGCAGAGACTGCACCAGGAAGATGTCCAAAGATGGAGAGATGCGCCTACTCTGAACTCAGCGCCAAGAAAACTTCAGGAAGCACTTTAGAGGTCTCTCAAGAGGTCTGAGGAGATTTGCTTCACTTATATGAAACCTGTAGGGACAATCCGCAATGAAGAGTTCTCGCTGTGACCACAAGCTAAAGACTACGACAATTAAATGAGGAAGAAATGGGGCTCTGAATGGGAGCGTCCTAGAAGGTTTAAGAGTGTGCCTTCGGTCCTGCAATACAAGTGGCCTGGGGGCAAAGGGAGGTCGTCCCCAGAGCCCCGAGTGGGGGGTCAGTTTCGAGTGTCCCCTGAGATACCGCAGGCTTCCCGGGCGGGTAGGGACACCCCCAGGAAGGCTCTTCTCCACTTCTCAGGGAAGGGACAATTGGCATCAGCCCTCCGCTTTCTACCGCCGCTCTTCCGCAGGCATCTTCCCAGAAAGTGGTTCTGTGGCCCCAAACCCGTCTGGGCACCTGTGGTCTGAAAATTCTGTCTGAATCAAACGTGTTCATAGAAACCTGAGAACAGGAAATGCCACCTGCAAGAGATTCATATTTCGTTACGACTTAGATTTTGTACAGTTTGTAACGATGCTTTATTTTATTTTTTTTTAAGAAAGAAATCACGATGTCCAACTTTTCGTCTCTCTTTTTTCCCTCTTCCTTGTGGTCCAACTACACACACAAACACACACACACACACACACACACACACACACCTAGGACTCCTGGCCCAAAAGGTTCATTTATTATGAACACAACAGGAATGAGAATTGATACAATGAATCTATTTACATTTTAAAGATTACCTTATTAAACGGGATCTGTAAGATTTGTATATGTAATCATCGACATCGCCAAAGGAAAAACAAAATTACAACCTCTTTATCCACCAAACTCTTTGAAAATCTCCACAGCGGCTCAAGGTTATGAGACATACGAAATCAGAAAACAGTTATGAAGAGGAGGTTTACATTTTACTGAAATGCCCTCATATTGTTTTAATTTCACCTCAAATTAAACTGACATTAAAAGGGGCAAGTCACACCAGGTACTACGGCTTCCGCTTCACCACTATGGCTTGGGACCAAGGCCGGGACCACCGCTACTAAGAAGTAGACCTGCAGACGCGGGCCACAGCGCCCCCTCGCCGCTCGCCCGCACGACTTCGGTCCTCTGTCGCGCCCTTGCAGGCCTCAGACATGCAGAACTCCAGGGCATGGCCATGTCTAGCAAGCGTCTAGGTGGTCTTTACAGCCAACCTGGCTCTGGAGACGACCCAAGTCCGAGTCTGTGACATTTCTCAGCTCTTGGCCGTGCAGGAAATCCCAATTCGTTAAAGCGAGCACTTTAACACAGACTTGTTCTAAGGGCATGAACCACTGTTTGGACAGAAATGCATATAGGACAGTGATAACTCCCTTTTTTTGAGAGGGGTCCACCGCGAACCTGAATGCCTGGGCGATTGTTGGAACTCACGGGGCGCTTCTAAAGCAATTGCTAATTCGTTTTTCCTTGCCTGCGTATCCATTCTCTTCTGTTCCGAATCAGACGGTAACTGCGGATAATCAAAAGCAAAGTGTCTGACCCTACACAGGCAATCCCAGATGCCTTAACTCCCAGCCCTCCTTGCCCCTGAACACAGGAAGACCGGCTATGGGCTGCGACGCCATCGTCTGCTCGCTCTCGCTGCGTGGGCTGCTGCTCTCCGCCAGGTGGACGGGGGTCCCAGTTCGCAGCAAACCCAGGCCACAGTGCACGGAGTCAGTGCTGAGAGCCGGGCTCCACACTCGCAGCGTCGGCTTTCCCAACTGATTTCTTTAACAAGAGAGAGTCAACTTTAATCGAAGGAAAGGAAAAGTGTGTTGGGTTTTTTTTTTTTTTTTCTTCTTAAATCTTTAAAGTGAAATGGAGTTTATATATTTCAGTAACAATGCAGAGCACAAGTTTTAATGTTCCTGAGTAGGCGTTTTAATTTGCTAGTCACCACCAATAAAAACAGCATGTAGCACGATTCTACTGTTTAATAGTGCAAGGTAGACGGTTTTATTAGTAACAGGAAGCAGTATGGAAAATTTAGATTTCGGTGGAGTATAATTGTTGGGGGAGGGAGGCTGCAAACGCTGAGGGAAGAGACCGTTTTCAAAACCAGCAGCACTGAAGTGAAAAAAAGGTTTCGGGCAGTGCTTCTTGGGATTGCCCTGGACAACTAGGGACCTCCAAAGCCACACGGACTCGTCTGATTACATATTTAATTGATGTCAAAATCCAGTATGTCCAGAGCATACGTTCTACTCCAAATGGAGGATGTTTCGGTCAGAACTGTTTTCTCTTCTCCGGGCTGGCAACGGGGTCCTAGGGGTGGGCGGGGACAAGGCTCCTATGCAAATGAACAACAGCGGAGTCGCTCTTTAGATATGGTAATACCCGAGGCTATTCATCCCTGGTGACAAAAATTACACCCTCCTTTTTAAAAAAAAACTAAAATTATTCCGATTGGAAACAACCCCGGAATGCTGCCATCTGATGTGTCGCTGTATCTGTTTACTATCCAACGTGCCCATCTCTTTTAGGAGCTTCATCCTGGCCGGATTTCTTACAAGGGACCAAACAAACATTGGATTCTGGCCACGGTGGATCCGGAAGTGCTGCGTCCTTCTTTCTTTCCTCTCTCCTTCTTTTCTTTCTTTTTAACTCTGCAACAGTTGATAGAAAACATCTTCCCAGAATGGGACCGAAACATTTGTTGGAAAGCCTTTCTAACTGAGGCTTTGAGCGCCAGAGAGCTTGTTGGGGAGTGGCCGGGATGCCAGTGGGGTTGAGGAGGGAGTGGTGTGAGTAGGGGTGTCTACCTGTTGGGGGATGGTGTGTGTCTGTATTGTACAAGGGGGGGAGCGGGGAGTAATTTATGGTGTAGAGGATGGTGTTGTGTGATAAGAGGGGGCAGTGAGGGCCGGGGTGGGAGGCATGATGGGGGCCAGTGATTAGGGAATGGGGAGCGCTATTATAGCGTGCCTGAATCTCACCTGCCTAGGACATCAGACCCACTGGCCCAGAGGATAGGCCCTTTGCAAGCACAACGTTGCCGTTTGCAACTGGTCCATCAAACCTAGGGAAGGGCGAGCGCCTTCTGCTTTCGTGCCCTGACCCCGTACATAGGCCTCAACCCCAGCTTGGAGGTTGGCGTCTGGACGATTTCGAAACGAATGCGTAATCTGAAGCCATTCCCTAAATTGACGGTGCTGTGTGTGACAGAGATAGCACCCTGCCAGTTCCCCAGCCTTGCCTACGCGCGGTGCGGCTCCCCTTCCCGGGGCGCCACCACCATAGTCTCCCAGGACTAGGGACGCACTGTCGAGCCCCACCTCATCCCGTGGGTCCCACCCTGCCCCCAAACACCCAACACTCCAAGGACAACTGACCGCTTCAGCATGTACATCAGAAACCTTCTGCCTGACCCCGGATTGGAAGAAAGTGATAGAGGATTTTGGGGGCCGGGATCCCAAAGCCGGCTGCTAAGTCCGGTCCTAGATAGATGCCTTCAGAACTCTGTTACCTGAGCTACCTGCTCGCTGCCTTCCTGTTCCTTCGAGTGGTGGCAGCGAGGATTCACGTCGTGACGGGGCGATCACTCCAGTAATAGTCAAATTTCCGAACGTGTTGTGAACAGGAATCCAAAAAAAGGAATCACATCATGGAAATTATATAAAACACTAACACTTCGGGAGGGCATCGTCCTCGAGGAAGCACGGATGGCACGTGAGAAGCAGCTTTCAACAGCGGAGTATCCCACCCCCCCACTCCCGAAGGATTCGGGGTCTCCACTGTACACTCAGGACAGAAGCCTCACCTCAGGGCCCTCCACACAGTCCACCGGGAAGGCGCCCAGGATCCAGGGCCCGCGGGGACACGATGGGCGACGTGGGACGCCTGGCCAGGCGACTGGACTCGCAGCCGTGCGGGGAGCTTCTGGGCCGCGAGGTGGAGCAGACCCAGGAAGGTGGAAGCGAAAGCCACTTACGCCACCCTAAGGTGGCCCGGGCCTTGCCACCGATCTGCTCCCCTTCTCCTGCAGCTCCCGATCGGGCTCTGGGACAGGGGTTGGTCTCTTCGGGGCGGAAAGGGGAGCATCTCCCGACTCCTCGGTGGGACCCACACGGTCCCGACTGCTGAGGCCTTTCCCGCGTCGTTGCGGGGCAGTGTTAGGGGTGGGGTGGCCAAAGAGTGGAGGGCAACTTGGGAGCCTGAGGCGCACTGCGCCTGGTGGGAGGTGGTTCGGGGGGGAGGGGGGAAGAGGTAGGAGTAGGTAGGGAATGAGTGGGAATGCGCCCTGAGCCCACAACACGGCCAGGCCTGGCCACCGGACCGTGGCAGTGGGCTGGGGCTGGGCAAAAGGCGGCTGCGCCACAAAAGCCCAGCTTCCCTCCCCGCTGCCTGCCGCCCCTCCCCCGCCGGCGTCCCCGCCCCTCCCCCGGCCGCGGCCCGGCGGCGGGAGCGGGCGGAGCAGGGAGGGGGCGGGCGCCCGAATATGCAGATGAGCGCGTGACGGACAGCTCGGTGTTCCAATGTCCCTCGGAAACTCGAGCGCTCCTTCCTCAACTCTTCACTCCCGACTCCGCACTCCCCCAAACCCCGACCGCCGGCCTGGCGCGCGGCTGCGCCCACCGGCTCCGCGCCGCCGCTGCCACTCCGCAGCCCAGCGCCCCGGCTGGTTGTGGATGGAGGGCGCCGCGCGCCCTACCCGCCGCTCGCCGTGACGCGGGCCCCGTGCCCCGCGCCCACCATGTCCTACCCGCAGGGCTACCTGTACCAGGCGCCCGGCTCGCTGGCGCTCTACTCGTGCCCGGCGTACGGCGCATCGGCGCTGGCGGCGCCGCGCAGCGAGGAGTTGGCTCGCTCGGCGTCGGGCTCGGCCTTCAGTCCTTATCCGGGCTCGGCGGCCTTCACGGCTCAGGCGGCCACCGGCTTCGGCAGCCCGCTTCAGTACTCCGTGGATGCGGCGGCGGCGGCCGCCGGCTTCCCGTCCTATATGGTAACCGTGCGGCGCGGGCCCGGCGGGCGGGCGGGAGCGGGCGCGGGACGAGGGCTGGAGGAGGGCCGCAGGGGAATCTCAAGGCGGCCGGGACGATCGGATCCCGGGCGGGGGACTCGCACCAAGGCTCCGGGCTCTGGTACAGTTTCTTGTTGAGCCTGGAAAAGTATCTTTTGGCCGAGGTTGGGGGCAGTCGGGAGTTGCCTCGTTGTTCGCCCACTGCAGCGGAACGAAGGGTCCGAGGCTAAGCTTCTGAGCAGCTCTGGATTTAAGGCGGTGATGGGCCGCTGGCATTTACTTCTGAGCTTGGGGTGGAGGGTGTGTAGTCTCATGGCGGGAACCAAACGTCCGGCGGCGCCGCAGGGGCCAGTGGAGTTCCGTGTCCCGGCCGAGCATTCCTGGCCCTCAGCCCTCATGGCTCTGGCGGGCCTTGATTTTGAGAAAAGTGTCACCCTCTTAGTGCACCACGGCTCGGTCCACCCGGAGAGCAGCTCTTGCCCCTGTCCCGGGGTCGGCCGGTGCGCTTCGCTGGTCGGTGGCTGGGACAGGCGGAGGCGGAACGCGCTTCGGGCGACCGAGGCCATTATGGGGGATTGGGGTGTAGCTGCTGCCAGGCTTCGGTGGAATTCTGGGCCAGCAGCGGGAGAAGAGCCTGGGGCTTTGGAGAATTCAGCGAGTGTCTTGAATGTAAACGTTAAAGGCTGATTTAAAAAGCCAATTGCTGCGTTTTTGAAGAATGGAAATAGTAGTAACTGGCTTCTGAGTTGCAAATTGGATTTGCGGAGTTTGCGAACAGTGGATCATAGCGCTGGGGGCTCAGGGATTTTTTTTTTTTTTTGCCTTTTAAAGCACGTAAGGGCGCATGGCGGAGGGGAGACAACAGCAATTGAAGGATTGGGAGACAATCAGATATGAAGTAAACTACCTGTAGGCGGGTTCGCGCGCGTGTGTTTGCGTCCGCGCGACTCAGGGTCAATTAGGGGAAAGATAGGCCACTTTCTGAAAGTGAAGCCCTTAAAATATTCAAGAATAAAACTGGGGCACTTTTCGATTCAACTGCTGGCACCAAATTACCAGCTGTTTTTGTTTGTTCTCTTTGACTATGGGAAGCGCTGCCCAGGGTGGGAGACCCGCCATGAGAAAGAAGGCAGTGGGCTGGCGAGGGGTCGCCTCTGGGTACCGCCTGGTGAGTCACTAAGCGCCCCACTCACCAAGTTCTTGTCGATTGCAGGGCGCGCCCTACGATGCACACACGACCGGGATGACGGGCGCCATCAGCTACCACCCTTATGGCAGCGCGGCCTACCCATACCAGCTCAATGACCCGGCGTACCGCAAGAACGCCACGCGGGACGCCACAGCTACGCTCAAGGCCTGGCTGAACGAACATCGCAAGAACCCCTACCCCACCAAGGGCGAGAAGATCATGCTGGCCATCATCACCAAGATGACCCTCACGCAGGTCTCCACTTGGTTCGCCAACGCGCGCCGGCGCCTCAAGAAGGAGAACAAGATGACTTGGGCCCCAAGGAACAAAAGCGAGGACGAGGACGAGGATGAGGGCGATGCGGCCCGGAGTAAGGAGGAAAGTGCTCACAAGGCGCAGGAAGGCACCGAGACCTCGGCAGAGGACGAAGGTGAGTGAGGCACCCCGGAGCCTTCTTTCCTGGCGGGCGCAGTGTTGAGGTCCTTGTGGGTGCTTTGCGTCCCACACTCAGGCCCGGACTGGGGGACGTTCTGAGGGATGCTTTCCGAGGAGGTGATATTTACCCCAGATTCATAGCTGGGGTTGGGGCGCAGTCAGGGATCCTGCTGGGTGGAGGGGTTCCCGGTGTCAGCGCTGTCCCCCATTGTCACCTATCTTGCCCGTGGCCCCGCAGGGATCAGCCTGCACGTGGACTCGCTCACGGATCACTCTTGTTCCGCCGAGTCGGACGGGGAGAAGTTGCCATGCCGAGCTGGGGACCCCCTGTGCGAATCGGGCTCGGAGTGCAAGGACAAGTATGACGACCTAGAGGACGAAGAGGATGACGACGAGGAGGCCGAGCAGGACCTGGCGCCACCCAAGCCCGTGACCTCGTCGCCACTGACCGGCGTGGAGGCGCCGCTGCTGAGCCCCCAGCAGGAAGCCGCGCCCCGAGCTGGCGGCAAGGCGACCCTTGGCAGCCGGACGTCGCCGGGCGCGCAGCCGCCCGCCAACAAGCCCAAGCTGTGGTCGCTGGCCGAGATCGCCACGTCGGACCTAAAGCAGCCGAGCCTGGGGCCGAGTTGCGGGCCACCCGGGTTGCCCGCGGCCGCGGCACCCGCTTCCTCCGGGGCGCCGCCGGGCGGCTCCCCGTACTCGGCCTCGCCGCTGCTCGGCCGACACCTCTACTACACATCGCCGTTCTATGGTAACTACACAAACTACGGGAACTTGAACGCGGCGCTGCAGGGCCCGGGCCTCCTGCGCTACAACTCGGCGGCCGTGGCCCCTGGAGAAACGCTGCATGTTGCCCCCAAGGCGGGCAGCGATGCGGGCAAGGCGGGCGCACACCCTCTGGACGCCCACTACCGGCCTCCGGGCGGCGGCTATGAGCCCAAGAAAGGTAGGCAGTCAGAGCCCCGCGGGGTCTTTCGGGAAGGCCAGCTGAATAGTTAGTTAGCACCCCTGAGAACCTGGGCGGGCGGGCAGCGTTAATCGTGCAAAGGCACCCGTGTCCCTTCAAGGAGCAAAAGAAAGAACATTTCTGTCCTTTTGAGCTCGGATTGTGGGGAATGGGGAGGGAGGGGGCAAAGGCCAAAAGAGAGGAGAGGAGATGATTCTGGCCTCATTCTGGGTGGAAAGCCATTATTCCTTGCTTTTTATTTCACTTATTAGCACTGTGTTTATTACCCTATGATGATCACCAGGAGAAGTTTCGTTTTAGCCAACTGTAAATTGCCACAAGACGCAAATTACACTTTGCAACCAAGCCATGCTGGTTAAGTTAAAGGTGATCAGGTTTTGTTGGTCAAATAGAATCACAGCCGAGTTCTCTAAGTTTCCTTTGACTGAAAAGAAACAACATCCTCGGTATTACCAGAGAGCTTACTTATTCCACCTAGTAAATATCAACCTTTTGGTTTTCTCCGCTCTTTCCCATTCAGCTTCTGTTGTGTAAAAGTCAGGTTTCAGCTGAGGATACCCAAAAAGGGAGTCTAAGGGGAAAAGAAAACGAGGAATAATGAAATTACCCTAATCAGTCCTTAGAGAAAGTCCAGGATCACAGATTGTCTGTCTGGGCCAGGAGAGGGTGTGCGGGCTGGAGTGTGTGGTGGCTTGGAGGCAGCTGGCTCTGGTGGGTTTTGACTAACTGCACCCCCACTCCCCTGACAGATGCCAGCGAAGGCTGCACGGTTGGCGGGGGTGTCCAGCCCTACCTATAGAAGGCCGGTGCGTAGCAGTGCAAGTAAGTGGGCACTTGTCGGTAACTGTCAGGAGCAATTAAGCTGTAAACTTGCTTACTGTGTATTTCCCGCTTTGGGTCATGGGTTTGGAGGACAGAGCTTTGCAATCTTCTCCACTCTTGTTTTCCTTTAAGGAGGAGAGTACCCACTCTATTGTACAGACTCTCTTCAGTACTTGTTTGAAGTCTATTCCTTAATTGAAATATATCACTTCACTACTGTTGTTCCCTCTTTGACCAAAAAGCAAAAAAACAACAACAAAAAGATGATTCAAACCTAGGCATTTGTATGCAAGGGTGCTTGCTAGCCTGAAGGTCAGCAATTCAAAACGACCAGCCTTTCTGCAGGAGAAAGATGAGGCTTTCTGCCCCTATAAAGATTTACAGCCTCAGAAACCCTATACAGGGTCGCTGTGAGTCAGAACGGACTCCACGACACATAACCACCAACCACCACCAAATACATAATAGTCATGTTATGATGAGCTCCTGCTAGTGATACTCCGGTATCCATCTAGACCCTTATTAATAATGGCTGCAGAATAAGAATTGGGGGCGGGGGGCACCAAGAAGGCTTTTCTTTGATCAGGCCCAACTCTGTAGGTCCTGATGAACTAGATGGGACAGTGAGGTTCTCCTGGCTCATAGCAGTTTCCTCCAAATGACTGTTAATTTACAAGAAGGCAAAATTACTAACCACAGATCTTGAAGATGGGGAAGAAATGGGACCATTTTAGATCAACTTTTTTCTTTTTAAAAATAATGCGATGGTGTTGATTTGGAACTGAAGGAATTAGATGATTTGGTTTTTTTCCTTGGTCCACAGGTAGGTGTCACAATTTCATTGAAAAACAAAAACAAAAAAGAAAACAAACCAACAATAACAAAAACACAAGATAATAATAATAATTAAAAAAATAGTGTTGGGAAGCCTGGTTCCCAAGCTAATATATATTCAGATAGAAAACCCAGATCTCTAAACCCAGATCGCATCTGGTCTCCTGCCACTTGTAATGGAGAAGACTCCATCCACAGAACACCACCACGCCACAGGCGCTAAGACTAGACTGGACTGTTTGGGGGCATATGTGAATTTGTTGGCATAGTATAGCTTCTCCAATGTATGTGTGACTTTTGCAAACAATCTGTTTTTTTTCCCTCAGGATATCTTGAATTGATCACTTCATTGCCACGGTATATATATATATATATATATATATATATATATATATATATATATATTCTATAGGTGTGATAGGATTGATTGTAAAATTTATTTGTAAAAGCTGTACACAGTAGAAATCATAAAATGTGATTGAAGAACTTGAGTACTTAAGAAGTGGAAACAAATTTGATATTTATTTTTATAATGATATAAACCTTCTAGTAATTTATGCAAGTTGTATTGCAATGGAATCTAAACTGTTTTTGTAAATAAATTCTGCCTGGTTTTTATTTGAACATTGCTGGTTATACAATCTTTGTTGGTTGTTTAACAAGAATTCTTTACTAATTTATATCTTAAATTGTAAATAAAAACAGACTAGTCTACAACAACTGGCGTTTGGGGCTCATTTTTCCTGGCAGAGTGATTTGGGTAGGGAGCCCTCATTCTTGTCTCCTGGGTGGAGTGATTGTGACTTCAGGCCCTTTTATAAAAATATGTAAAATCATCACTCCCTTCTCCCTCTCATAAACAAAAAGGCAGTGGATGAGTAAAGTAGTGTAGGGAGATGCCTAAAGTTCTAGATATTTTAAATATGAATGTGTTGCAAGAAAATGAAGTCTGTGTACTCTGAGTCTGCAAAATGACTTATTAGTGTAAATTAAAACTTTGACATAATCAAATGATCTGACCCATCCAGGCCTTAGACTAGGATCCATTTTATATTTGTATATGATGCTGGCTTATTAAAGCACCCTGCTAGACACAACTGGAAGAATTATGAAGACATAGAGAAAGCCCACTTACATCCCTCACAATAAATTTCTGATGGGAATTATTGCTTTGTTTTAAAAGCATGAAGTATCCAATTTGACAAGGATTATTTAAATACACTGAATACTTTCTCAATATACCTTTTCATATAGTATGCATTATACCCAGGGTGAAAATCTTGAGGGAAGAAATGTGTTTTCTCCTCAGTGGCTCTTTCTGTAGCCCTGGGGAAAAAGAAAAGTTTAAATACCCTTAGATTATTTCTACTTTATTGTGTTACTCACTCCCTAATTATAGGACGAGTTGGAAAAATTGTAGTCAAGTAACACATTCCCTTTGATTGGAATCGTAAAAGCAGCAATCCTGTCACTTTAATTTTCAGCAACATTATATGGATATCCATATAATATAATTTCAGGAAAGAAACGCACACTCATTTATTTCCTCTGCAAAGATAAATTGAGTGAATATAACTTACGGTTATAAAACAAGAATAATAGCTTCTTAGATTGCCCTTTAATCAATCATACACTTATTTTTCAAGAGGTTCATCTATTTTATTCCATGATTAATAATGTTGCAGCATGAGCGCATTATTGGATCCCAGCGGGGGAGATCCAGGATGCTTTTAGCTGCTTTGGAATGGTCAGTTGGGGTTCATTATGGGCTGATATTGAACAATTTATAAAATCTTGTCTAAACATCTGCCAGCTCCGATAGGCTGATGTATCTGAGGATGGGAAATTGCTGGACCAGTTGATATTGACAAACGGATCTCTCTCCGGTGGCTTTTTGTGCTGCAGAAATTAGTGGCCTCTTGCTGGGGTCTTGTTATAAAGGGTATTTGAAAGTAATCTTAGAGACTTGAAGCAAGGCTGGGCGAGTGTTAACTGGACACCGAGCACTGCCCGTGGGGAGGGGAAGTTGCAGTTTCTTTGTGCAGGATCCTGGGGAAAATCAAGATTGTAGATTTTCTCTGACTTTTTAGACATTTTGTTGGGTTTGAATCCATTAGCATTTGGCGATCAGGCATCAAAATCCTCGGGGTGGACACAGACATATTTTTCTCTCTCTCATCCCTGCCTCCCTTAGTAATCGAAATGGAAGTTCAGGGCTCTGAGTGAGCTGTTGAGGGGGTGAGCTTTTTTGAGGGGTGGGGTGGGGTGGAGACAGTGTATCTGTGGCAGTGTGTCTGAAAAAAACCAATGTGAGATTCAGGATTAGAAGTCTGCCCTTCAGCTTCTTTGCTTGTTTGTGTTTTAGTTATAAAATCTTCATAGACGCTACCATCCCACCTCCATACGCACTGAAATGTAACCAGAAATGCTTCAAGTATTTGACTTTTAATAATATTAGTCATATTTCAGGAGTCAGCTGAGGATAGCCAGGTCTTTTATCTGTAATGTTACAACCTACATATTTTGAAGACTTTTGTGAAAGCATGCGTGTTAACACTATTTAACAAATAAAAGAAACTATAAGACTATAGATGTTAATCATGATACACTTAAGACAATATAATAACTCTTGCAGTGTGGGATAATAAACCCCCCGGACAAAAATGGACCTTTGCTTATATATTCAGAAATTGAAGCCCTTTGGAAGAGGGAAGATTGTTTTACCTGGACATGTGATCCCTGTTCCCTTGCCCTACACACACACACACACACACACACACACACACACACACACACACAGCAGACCCTGGGTCTCTGGGACAATGTGTACATTTCAATTGGCGAAACCCTGAGCAGCTCAGGAGATTAACCCAGGCGAACACATCTTCTTTGATGTTTCTGGGCCCCACAGATTATCACAGATTTCCATAACTACACCCCCCACCCCCCCACCCCCACACCTCTTGACTTGAAATTCTTTGTGGAGAGCTTGATTTTTAAATATAAACTAAGCATCTAAAACCTGTTGGTGTTTAGTGTGATCTTTTTAGAGAAGAGTTTTTCTCTGCCCCAGACAGATTCGAAAAACATGAGGGAGGCAGGAAAGAGCCCGAGAAAGAGAGAGGGAAACACCAGCCTTCTTTGGGGAGGGAAGTTAAAGGGTCCGAAGGGATTTTTGTTTTTGCTTTATGTTGAATTAACCAACATTAGGCAGGACTCTGGTTGTAGGGGTGCCGGGGGAATTAGGGCAAGGCGCCTGGTGGTGAGCTGGGCAGCACTCGGGCGCATTTCACTAGTCTGGTCTTAGGCCTCCAGCGTTCTCCTCTCTCAGTGCTCGGCCAGGACAGGCCCAGAGCCCTGGGCAGCCCGGAGGGTTTGGGGAGAGCTGATTTTTCCGTGGTTTAATCACAGGTGGGTCCCCGGGGGATCGACGCTGCCGGAGAGCCCCGGGAGCGCTGGCCCACTGGCTGGTCTACTCTGCCTCCCGCGCCCGTCAAATGTCAACATTTGCTCCCAATAAAAGAGTTATTGTTTCTGCAAAGCTGCTCAGCAACTGCTGTTGAAACTTGAAAAGAACTTCATCTACCTTTGTCAGGCAGGCGGCAGGAGGGGCAAGGAGAGAGGGAGAGGCAGTAGCTGGGGAGCCTGGCCGCCCAGAGTGGTCGCTCTCTCTTTCTGGGGTGCTTGCTGAGCAGACAGTGGCAGACTCAGGGTGCTCTGAACAGCTGCGGAGAAAACACAAGAAGAGATCGCCGTGTTTTCCAAATTGTGTTAGGTTTAGGTTCATTGAAAATTGTATCAAGGTATTTCTTCAAGAAGCTAAAGAAAAGTGGATTTTTATTATTGTTTTAATTATTTTCGTTTTTGAATGTTAGGGAAGAAATGTACTCGAACGTCACTGTTTTTTAGAGCTGAACTCAGAAGACATTACTATAGGGGGAAATTACCTCAAGCCAATTTATCTGCTCAGTCAGAAGCAACCCTTTCAGTTTTCCATAATATGCTGATTGATTAGAACCCCCTTCCAATAACAGCATGTAGTAATGATCCATCACCTACTTGTCTTTAATTATTCTGTACTTTGAACATCTTAAGGATATTTTTTGCCCCAAATTAAAGACGTACCCTAAAATCCTTTTTTTT